ACAAATAAATGAGATCACTATTTCTTCATATCATGCCTTTGGAAACTTCCAGATCAATCAACAAGAGAGGCAATAATATTTTAACACCAAAAACAACTTACAAGTCTTCGATCAAATGAAGGTCCTCACGATGGTGATGGAGAAACTTGCAGCAGTTGACGGCGAGGGCGTGGTAGGGATCGCGTGAGCTTTGGACGATGTAGCACGGTGGTGGACAATCTCCCAATGGCGACCGTGGCGGGGATGAGACCTTGGGTTTTTGGTATTTCACGTTTTTGGAAGATTGTGATGAAGGAGGTTGTGGAGTTTATGTTGGAAAATCTGGGGTCAGGCTTGGTTTGAGTATTTTTGCTGGTTTCTTCTATGATTTTTTACTTCCTCTCTGTTTCCGTTTTGCTCTCCATAAAATCTCAAAAAAAAAAGAACCCCCTTTTTTCACTTCTTTGCTGTTAGCTTTTATAGAAGAAAAACATCAGCCTTTCCTCCTTAAGCCCGATGGATTTAAGAAATAGTTGGATCTTCCATGCATTCCAAGACGCTCAGGCCTACTCAGTGTGTGGTCTTCTCCAATTTCTTCTTTTGGACATTGCTTCTAGCTTTTGATTCTGCTCCTCACCTATTTTTGCTCTCTGCTCTTCTTTGAACAAAGTGGCTCTACTTACACAGAGGCGCCAGCTGAGTTGCTCCGTTTTGAGCAGTGATATTGACACATTGATGGGGACTATGGGTTTTTTCATTATCATTTTTTTATTTTTATATATATATTTTTTTATTATTTAATTTTTTTTTTTTGAAAAAAATGGTGCTCATAATAAATTTTTATTTAGGACAAAATTAGGTGTTCACAATAATAATAATAATAGAAAATTATTTCTCCATAATCCTAAAATGATGTTATTAAGAATTTGGGAAAAAATACAAGGTATTTTGTGAATTTCACTTCTCTAATATAATTTAAATTTTTTAAAATTACCCTTCATTCTTTTCTCCAAATCCAAAAACAGTGTTATTTTAAGTTTGTAAAAGATAATTTTATCTTGTGCGATAATAGAAAAAATGTTTAACCTTTATAATAAATAATATGATATAAATGGATTTGATTTTGTTTTAAATAAGGATATTGGAGGAGGAGTCTTCTGTTTGAATTGATAACCGAAATTTGTTATTAGTCTCATCTCTTCTGCACTCGTCCCGCCAACAATCATCAACAAACTCAGTTTCTAATTACCTATATCAATTAGAGGTTTAAAAATAGGGTTCATTTTTTCTGCAGTGAATGCAGATAAGTTATCTGTATTGAGCCCAAAACGATATCGTTTTGGGGCGGAAATCAAGGTTCATTACAAAAATTCAGATATTTTGTGGGGGTCATATTTGCAAATTGTGGCGGTCTTTAACCCCCACAAAAGATATTAGCCACATCCACTTCAACCCTCAGTTTTGCATACGCCACAACACATTTTCAGGCGTCTTTGTGTGCAACGCCACAATTTGTCGAAATATTTTCTGAAAGTTTTAGACCCCACAATTATTGCACTTTGAGGTTTCAAACCCCCACAAATATTTATCACTTCCTAGAGGGCATAAACCTCCACAATTTGTTTATTATTTTGGCAGGTTTAAACCTTCACTGTTTGTCACATTTTGTAACATTTATAGACTACCAATATCTAAGAGTTGAAAGGTTTATATATCATAATTTGAGAATTGGGGCCCATCACTTTATTTGTTAGCCAATTTATTATTTGTTTGATCTCTTAACATTTCCTTGAGAATAATTACTAAATGCTAATTATCCAAAAGCAACACTATAATACATCAATCATAGTTCATATTCATGCTCGCACTTGATTAATACTTTTTTAAATAGGTAAAAGTACAAAAATACACTTTAACACTCATTTACTATAATATGAAGTTGTATTAGACAAAACAAAAATGTACATAATATTCTCTTATCTAATTGTACACATTCATGAAAGATATAAGGTTGATTCAAGATTGTGTAAACAAGAAAAAATAGGAAATTTACAATTATCCATGACAAGAACACAAATTTTTTTTTTGCCCTTTCACTCTCCTGCGTTCATCACCACACCCTTCTCTTCATACTTTACTCCCACCAAGTATCTTATGCGTACCTGGGAACAAAATTTGACGGATCTGGGTTTACTCAAAAAAGTGTTCTTCTTTATTGTTGACATGTTTAAATAAGTTTACTTTTTTGTAAGAGTAAAATGACACAAGTTGTGTCATTTAAAAGGACAAACACTTTTTTTATAAATTAAATGTTACTAGTAAAGCAAGTATGACAGCGAAACTATGTCCAATGATTGTTGAGTTAAGCAATTGAAGTGTGCAAACCCAGAAAATCAAGTCATTCTATCTCTTTTTCTTTTCTTTTTTGGTATCCCTCCTATCTCTTTAGTTACTACATGAAAAACAGTATTATGCCATAAGAATTATTAACATTTAATCTCAACACAAAAAAAATATTTAACATCTGCATTGCAAAATTAACAGTGACTAATATAAATATTGAACCAATAGACAAATAAAGACATACAATAAAGAAAAAAAAACTAAACTCAAAATTTTATGTGCGGACATATGCCCCAACGTGAGTCCCCCAGTGATTCGACTCCGCAAATATCGAATCATAGTCAAACAAAACGTCATTGGAGACATTGGATTTGACGTTTCCACCTAATATATCATGAATGCCAATATGCCATCTTCAGGACCCCAAGAATGTTGGTTTTCTTATTGCTTCTACTGAGAACACTATTAAGATCATCGAAGGAAGAACCTGCTGAGAACATTGTTGAATCTGCGAGTGGGCTTCATTCTTATAGGAGACGAAGGGATCCCTAATCAAGCAATATTGAAGATCATCTTCAGCTTCGCGGAACTTCGTTTCACAATCTCACTGGATATTAGTGATGGTGAGAAGAGTAAGGAACAGGTTGGAGCAATTTCGAATTTGAAAAAATCGAATATGAAAATGAAAAGAAGAAATGTAAATTCAAAAGCCAAGTAGTAAACATAATCAGAAATTGAAGTTGAGCGAGCTACCATAATCGCTCCAATGACTCTCTGTTGACGAGAGAAATCTGATAGGGAATGATAAGGTCTGAATAAGGGGAGAAAGATGTTGTAGCGGCTCAGTAGAGATTTCGTATAAAGAAGTGAGAAGGTGTTAGAGTAGCGTTTCATAACAGCTAAGGATCCCTTTAGAAATTTTTTGGATAAATTTTTACAAATTACATTATCTTTTCCGAGGAGAACATAATGAAACTTATTGTTTATCTGGAAAAGATAGTGTAGTTTGTAAACAAAAAAGTTTGTAAATATAACCCGCCCTTTCATAATATGTTAAAAGTGAATATAAATTATAAAAACAAATATTATATATTTTCAAATAATTTAAAGGGTTCGCTTTTTCTATAGTCACTGCAGATAAGTTATCTGCAGTAAGCCCAATACGACGTCATTTTGGGAGGAAATCATGATATTTTTGAAATTTTAATTTACTTTAGGATTATAATAGTATTTATATATATAATTTTTTAAAATTTCAATACCAAAACGACGTTGTTTTAAAAATAAATGCAGATAACTTATCTGTATTAACTACAAAAACATTTTTCCCTAATTTAAAATAGCAAAACACAATGTTAAATTGTGAAGATTTAAAACTTGCCAAAAATTAAATTAGTTAGTGGGCAAGTAGCTATTTTCACTTTTATTTTTATTTCTTCCAACATAAATAGTTATCCAATCACTTAGTCATATCTAGTTAGATAAATGATATACAAATATATTAATGTCATATATCTACATTCATTATAGAAATATTAAAGCCATATATAAATAAAAAATAGAATAATCATGTGTATTATTATTTTGGTGAAGCACTTTTTACCTATATAACCTCAAATTAGAAGAGAGAGGGATGACCATTGATGGTTATTTCTCCCTAAACTTTAATTATCCTATTATTATATGTATAAAATTATATTTATATAATAATAATAATAAATTATTAGCGTTAATAGTTTGACACTCTCTAAATAATACTTATACTAATTAGTCTGTTTTATTATTTTTAATAACACTTAATTTTAATATTTTATTTTTGTCCTCCATCATAAAAAATTACATTATTAATAATCATAATTATCTTTTCTTAAAGTAAAATATAGAATAATACATTGAGAATGTTTTATTTTTTTCACTTTTAATAACTTGTATTAATTTTAACTTTTTTTTTTTATTTGAAGTTCAAATTTAAATTTAACTTTTCAAACTTAATTATTATTATAACTTAATTGAATCAAATCACTAATTTAAAAGATTTCATATGAGTCATTAATTATCATAATGTCAGGAATTCCATTTCCGCGTGTATAATTAATTAGGGAAGGACAACAACCAAGTTGTGTTACTACCAATTGACTACCAATCAATTTCACCGTTAGATCAATTATGTTGATCCAAAGGTTATATTTATTTCCATCTTTGTATGGTAATGATTCCCCATATTTAAAGTGAAAGCATTAAATATGGAAAATCATAACCATACAAAGGTGAAAATAAATATAAAGTATTAAATTTGGGGAAACCGTACAAATATGGAAATAAATATAACCGTTGGATCAATATAATCGATCTAACGGTAAGATTGATTGGTAGTCACTTGGTAGTAACACAACTTGGTTGTCATAATATCCTTCCCCTAATTAATTTTGTTTAACTTCCGAAAAAAACCAAAATTTTAAATCTTTAAAGCAATCAGTGAAGATTCTCAATAAGACCCTATTAATTAGATGACAAAACAGGAAGGAATGTAACACAGTTCGTTGTGATCTTTATCAATTCAACTTCCATGACTGTCAAATTCAATATCCGCCATCTGTATATGTCTCTCTATGTATACGTAGTAAAAGAGTAATCCTTGATTACTAAAAAAAATATTGGGGAATTAAGGAGCATCTGTGATGGGTAAGTGGTTGAGGACTAGAGTGTTGGGAAGTGGTTCCTATGGCACTGTTTTTCTTGCTATTTCTGCTGCTCCTGGTAGTTGGAAGAAGCCAATAGCCATGAAGAGTTCGAGGCTTGAGTTATCACGTTCCTCGCAGATGGAAGAACATATTTTGAAGTCTTTCACTCTGTGTCCAGAAATCGTTCAAAGCCATGGATGCCAAATCACCAATGAGCAGGGTTTATTGGTATACAATCTTCTATTAGAGTACGCTCCTCACGGTACTCTCTCTCATTTGATCAATAAAGAGCCATTCTTGGATACCAAAGCAACCAAAGTCTACATCCGTGCCCTTCTCAGAGGCCTTTCTTGCATCCATCGGCGAGGCTTTGTCCATTGTGATCTTAAACCTCAAAATATTCTTGTGTTTCCTCCTTGTCCATCACATCAAGACTCTGAGTTTTACTATCAGCTGAAGATTGCAGATTTTGGGCTTTCAAGAACATGTGATGAGAATTTCAATGAAGAGAATTGGAGGTACAAGTTTAGAGGGACTCCTATTTACATGTCACCAGAATCGCTGAGTTTAGGCAAGATAGAAGCACCGTTAGAGATATGGTCTCTCGGTTGTATAGTTCTTGAAATGATCACTGGATATAATGGTTCATGTTGGGATTTTGAAAAGAACACCAAAGATTCCCTCTGGACTGAGCTGGGAATGCAGAGACTTCTTGAAGAAATGTTTTATAAATAACCCAGCTGAAAGATGGACCGCTGACATGCTTCTCAATCATCCTTATCTTCTTTATTAAGAATAGTATGTTAGTTTTTAGAGTAGTGATTTTGGATCAATTACAACTCTTTATGTTTGCATGTTTACTTGGTCATTAATTGTTTGCACTCTGTTAATGTTGTTATCATTGTTCGGTACCTTCTTTCCTTTAGTTTTTGTTATTGTTTACATCTATTTTGATTAGAATAAATTCTGCATGGTATGTTTATGCATAAACTGGTGCTCGGGATTCAGTTGGGTAACCTTTTTTTCACTAATATCGTTAATTTCATGTACAGATATACATTAGCTATACAGATTTATAATTATAATAATATTAGTATGAAAAATGCTTTGTTGGTAGAGACTAAATCCACTTCAATGATTTCTCGGCCTCGAGAGAATTAATCTTTGGCTATCGGCCCGGAAATACCCTTGAAGCATTGAAAAAAATAATGCTTGTTTATATGCAAGGCTCACTTTGTGTAATTAGTTATTAGTTTGATCAGAATAAATTCTGTTTGGTATGTTATGCATAAACTGGTGCTCCGGCTTCAGTTCGGTGACCTTTTTTTGATAATATCATTAATTTCATATATACATATATAATACATTAGCTATACAGGTTCAGAATTACAGTGATGTTTGTTTCTTGTCACCCAAAAAAAAAAAATTATTTATATGCATGGCTCACTTTGTGTAATTAGTTATTATTTATTAATTATAGTCACTATGCAAGTCTTGGGTATAACTGATTTTGCCCTGAGTTTTACTTAAATCATATAATTATAATTAAGGACCAAATAACAACTCAGAGTTGTTATTTGGTCTATAACCATAATTAACACGCTTATAAGTTTCCCATGTTTATTGGGGCCTGGTGAGGAATAAAGCTAACAAAGAAGGAAAATGAGATGTGTTCAGCGACAATAGTAGTTTACTTACTAATGGGATCTAATTGTCTAATGTTGTGATTGTGAATGCAAAGATAATTGTTAAGTATTATAGAAACAATTTCAACACACAAATTGTAACCGAGCATTGCTTGCCCATTTGTTCTATTCCTGTTTCTTAACTAGAAAGCTTTTCATGCACTTTGCTAATTGAGAATAGTCTTCAAGTAGTTTCTGTTCTGAAAGAGTGTCAATCTCATTCTGTGGGGTCCATAACACCTCACCGGCCTGTAAGAAATTCAAGCTGATAAAGAAATGACACTAATTTAAATTAAAAAACGAAATAGATTAACTGAATGTCCCCATGATCTCTTACTAATAATTTGCTTGAGAAAAGGGATCTAAGCTTGTGTAAGGCTTTCTTCAAATCTTCAGCTCCATTGATATTAGGAAGCTTATGTGCTCCTTTAGCAGCTACCAAGATTGTTATCTGATATTAAGTACATCTCTCAAGTGTAAGAAGAACAGATAGAAACCTTTTTGTTAACAAGTGAAATATCCCATTTCTGATACCCCATTGTCAGATCATTCAGAATTTAGCAAGCAAGGATGAGATATTGTTGTATTGAAGGATACAAAATTCTACAATAAGAGTGATAGACTTGAAAATTTTAGAATGCTTATAATAGGAATGAAATGAAAGTTTGAGCTGGTACACAAATTCAAGCATGTTTTAGAAATGTACGGATAAACAGCATCATAACTTACCACTACATACTCGTTGCCAAACCCATTGAGAAGTTTCTCTTCTTCAAAGTTCTTCCCTTCTAGTGTACTCTCCTTTACATTCAACTGCAAGACTATTAGTTGGTTATATAGCTCTATAGCTGATATTAGATACAAAATTAGGAATTAACTTTGCCCAAATGTTGAAATCAAAGTGGAAAACACTTTATTCAAGGTGCATCAAAATAACATGCTTGATTCCAAGAAATTGAAGCACATTTTAGAAAAGCTTTTTAATAACCAGAACATACCTTTTTGTACTCATTGCTGAACACATTAACACTCTGGCCTCTTGTACTTCTCTTTTCTAAGTTGTTCAAATTAACTAGTGTCTCTTCATCAAATTTCGCCCTTTCTTCATTTGATAGTTGATTATAGCATTTCTCTCCATCCTCCTTACTCCGCTTTAGATCCACCTGCCAAAGATTATTCATTAATTATTATATCCTCTAAACAACTGATATTGCAATTTGGCCTTAGGAGGAGGAATGAACTTACAGATAAATATCCTGCAATACAATAACCATGATGTCGATCCAAAGTTTGTATTGTTTCTGTCACAGAAAGTCAGGTAGCAAGAAGTGCATCAACTACTGAGCCTCGAAAGAATAATGGAAGGTTTATGTTAGCTAAATCATAGAACAAAATATGAATGTCTTAGACTAAGGATCTTCAACACTAATTTGCAATAAGTTTATAGTATTGACAATAAATTAAATTTCCTAAGCACACCATGACATCACAAAAGACATATCTCAACCGATGTGTGAGGTGATGTGCAAGAAGCATTTTCCCAAAACAATAGTACTCATGAACTATGAAGCACTGGCACTTCAAAAACCCTGACGTGTTGTGTTCGACACTCTCCGACACTCCAACACGCGTTGCAGAAACTCAAAAAATGGTTCAAAGGTTGCGTTGTGTAACATCCCGGGCGCTGACGAAGGCGGGGAGTGATCGCCGGTGCGAAAGGGCATGGTGCGCAAGGGCACAAACAAGGAGCGGCTCCTGTCAGGCTTCTAGGGACGGGGTACATGAATGAATCGAATCAACACCCGAAAGAGAGGGATTCCAAAGACTGTGCTGGTATGAGACGATACAGTTGGGAATGATTTATAAGAATTAATTGGTACTACCTATACTAACAAGATACATCTACTTTTCGGTAGCCCGGAACGGAAGAACTCCATAATTAAGCGTGCTTGACTTTGAGCAATTCTTGGATGGGTGACCTCCTGGGAAGTTTTCCCGGGAAGTGTGCGAGTGAGGACAAAGCACGCTGAAGAGTCTCGTGTTAGTGTGTGGGGACAGTCGTTGATCCTCGCAAGTTGCTAGGCGTTACTAGTGGTATCAGAGCTGGGCCTCTCTTCTAGTACGGTGTGGTTCGAAGACGAACCAGGCGGAAGCTGGTGGGCATGTAACATCCCGGGCGCTGACGAGGGCGGGGAGTGATCGCCGGTGCGAAAAGGCATGGTGCGAAAGGGCACAAACAAGGAGCGGCTCCTGTCAGGCTTCTAGGAACGGGGGTACATGAATGAATCGAATCAACACCCGAAAGAGAGGGATTCCAGAGACTGTGCTGGTATGGGACGGTACAGTTGAGAATGGCTTATAAGAATTAATTGGTACTACCTATACTAACAAGATGCATCTACTTTTCGGTAGCCCGGAACGGAAGAACTCCATAGTTAAGCGTGCTTGACTTGGAACAATTCTGGGATGGGTGACCTCCTGGAAAGTTTTCCCGGGAAGTGTGCGAGTGACGACAAAGCACGCTGAAGAGTCTCGTGTTAGTGTGTGGGGACAGTCGTTGATCCTTGCAAGTTGCCAAGCGTTATTGCGTTTTTAGTTTCAACTATTAGATTCGTTAGATTACGATTATCATTTTATTGAGTTTAATATAAATATTTGAGATATCTTATGTTTCTTTGCAAAATTGATGGGTATTATAAGTTTAACTTCATTTCTTGTTAAATTATTGAATATTAAATATAATATACATTATATAAATTAAAAATATTATTTAATATCAAAACGTGTCCTAACATGTCAAAATCTAACATTTTTTAAAATTAACGTGTCGGAGTGTCGTGACATGTCACGTGTCCCGTGTCGTATCGATGCTACATAGCTCATGAAGCTGATCAATTGCAACTAGCTACATAGCTCATGTTCACACAGGTTCAACAAAACCATAGAAGAAATATCTCTCATGATGATTCGAAAAAATAAATAAACAAATTACATGCATTTCGTGAAACTACCTGTCAATAGATAGCTCACACCTTCCCGAGAGGATGTGTCTGCAGCCTCTGCAATCCTAGTTAGATCCCTTTGTATTGAGCTTCCCATCCCACCCAACGCTGCTACCTTACATAAAGACACAACAAAATATGATTGACTAGAACTCAAAAGAACAAAACCTATTAGAGCCATGAAGATCAAACATGAAGATCATAAACAACATTCGTCCAATCAAAAAAAATGTTACCAACCTGAAGCTTGAGCACAGTAATTGTATTTCCATTGGGTTCTTTACAAAATCCAATCAAAAACAAACCAAACATGAAGATCATAAACAACATTGGTCCTCCACCATGACTACCCCTTGCAACCTCAACATCAGGAGAAGGGGCATCATTTACAGGCTCTGAATCAGTGGTGAATGATTCTGATGAGGAGGAAGAATCTGAATCAAAGAAGCTCCCTCCCATCACGCCTCCAGAGGAAGCAGAAACGAAGTTGATTTTATAAGTGCATAACACCCCAAGCAGCAACAAAGCGAAAGCTATAGCACTAGCACTAGCAGGTCTTCTCAACATTGCCATTTTAACATTCAATAACTTGTAGAATGATTTTTTTTTTTCTTTTTATTTAACTAAATGTTTATGTTGTTTGTATTGGAAGAACTTTCTGATCCTGCTTTCAATATTGCATTGAATTCATCCATGTTAAACTGGTGCAGTGAGGGAATAAGAATTTGAATGATGAGGAAAATTGGTGTCCTATGATCCTGCACTTAATTTTGTGAATGAATGTCTCAGATTTGGTTGAGATCAGAATGTCTCGGAGATTGAGGATCTCAACATCCATTCCAACCACTAATTTATATAACATTGATTATCATCCCTATATCTATATCAAAACACGCACATATGTAACAAAATTAACTTTTCGGCCTACAATATATATTCTCTTTATCAGAAACCTGTATATGTTACAAGATTCTTATATGGTAACTGCAGATTTCATTTCAAATTTTTATAGAAATTTTACATGTGACATGAGGGTGGGAACATGTTTATGATTTGAATATTATTTATGCTAAGTATTTGGATCTTGATCTATAGTAATATTATTGTGAATCACCACTAAGTTCACGAGTTGATGACCTGCATGATATGACTATACCAAGAAAGTAGATTAGTGAATATGTACGCAAGGTGAAGGTAGAACGAATATCACCTAATCGTAAAAACACAATAAAAGTTTCACGAAAATAGAGTACAGGTGTTAAAATTGGCCTGAGCTCCTGAGTCAGCCCAAAAACTGTATATTTGACCCTAACTTCATAAGTTTATTTTGTGGTAGTTCTTTTAATCCTAATTCTTAAAGTTTTATAATTTAGAGGGATGAGTTGGGTTTATTCACGCACACAAAAATTTCCTTTATCAAAATTCTCGGTATTTAAACAAATAAAAAATATATATAACTCAAATGTCTATACATAATAAAATAAATTATAAATATATTATAATAATAAAAATATGCCATCCCTACCGTATGCGTCACGAGGAATGCCTATTTTTTTTTTTTGGTAATCTAAGTGGTTAACAACAACACCCCAAAGAGATCAATCCAATAAAATCGTTCTGAAATTACAAGACTAAGACAAATCAGCACAATACAAAGGCCAAATATCAGGAGGAGTGTTTGAAAAAACACAAAAATTATTCTCAACAGGATCGTCTAAAAGATATCTAGAAAGTCAATTTGCACAACTATTTCCTTCTCTAAAAACATGAACTAGGTGAACTTCCCAATTCTTTTGTAACCATGCTCGAATCCGAGTCACTAAGCGAGACTCTCGAGATGTTCTTCCACTGCTGGAGAGCAGAGTGATAACTGAACCTGAATCACTTTCTACTATGCAGCGTCTCTAACCTCTAGCCCAAGCAAATTCAAAACTCTTGAGGACGCCCCATAATTCTGCAACAAAAATTGAACAAATGGCCAATATAGTAAGCAAACCCTTAATTGTATCGGAGCAAGACATAAAAGAAAATTCAATTAGATCACTACTTTGCCACAAAACAGTCAAGGGTTCTATGTTAATAAAATTATACACGTTTAGAAATTTACCAAAAATTGAGTTATTATCTGTTTATTACAAAATTTAAATAAGTTAAAGAAGACTTCTAAGGCTTTACAATGGTACAAATTTTGTAATTTTGTGCCGTAGATAAGGCCAGGATAGAGGTGAAGTTCGCCGGAGCGATTGATCATGTATTTGTTGATGTTGGTCAGCATGTCCTTCAACAGAGGGTAATTTTGTCCTTGACAAATTACACAATATTCCAATCGCATGGAATTCACAAAATATCACTCATTTCATAGTATTCTACGTCGATATTTTTTTTTTCATAAAAAAGAATTGCGGAGAATCTAATTTTTTTAGGAAAACTTTTGAGTTCCTCGTATCAAACATAGGTAAATAAGAATCCTAATATCAGTTTCTCAAGAATCTAAAAAAGTCATCTTTTCAAAGACACACAAATGGTATAAGTGAACGAGTGGGTAGTCTTCTATTTTGAGAGTGATATTGTTCTTTTCTTAGAATTAGAGAGGTTATAATTATCTTTCATTTAATGAAAATGTTTTCTACTCTTGCATGTAGTTTTTACTCCTCAATTTGAGAGGTTCTTCACGTTAAAATTTGATTAATAAAAATTATAGAATAATAGTTGTATACTTATAAAAGTTATAAAATTTTATCATTCACTTTTGTTAAAATAAGATTTTATATATTTAAGAGAAAAGTATTTTTCCGGCCACTGGAGATAAAATTATCTCCAGTGAGCTCAAAACAATATTGTTTTGGGTTATAAGATTAAAAAATTATAATGATAAATACTAATAAAATCCTGCAATATATTAGAATTATAAAAACCTTATTTTTGTCCTAAAACGATGTCGTTTTGTGTTCACCGAAAATAATTTGTCTCCGTTGACTGGAGAAATCATTTACCCTATATTTGAATATTGTTATATAATATATTAAAAGTATTTAAAATTAGTAATGAAGAATTTTTTAACAATACAAAGCCAATAATTAATCAAATATTAAAGAAAAGGTGAAATATGATTTTTAATCAAGTTCAAATTTTTCTGACCTTTGGACAAGCCTATGCGCTCAGAGATATAGTATAATCGAGTATATACTTGAGTTATAGTCGATGTCCCAAAGCAACAGGCTTATGGCCAAGGTGTGGGTGTGTGCACAGTGTGGGTACGGGCAGTATTAGTAAATAAGTCAAAAGTTTAGGGTAGAATATAATTTACTCAATAATATAAGATCCTAAGTATTAATTTAGGAAAAAGTATTTTTCTTGTCACAAGAGATAAAGTTATCTCCTTCGATTTAAAATTTTATTTCTTTATTTGTTATATGAATCAAAATACCGTTCATTAATTTTCTATCTCCCAAAAAACGACCCATTTGGGATTGCAGGAGATAACTAGGGATGCTAAACGAACTAGGGACCTTTGGCTCGGCTCGTGAAGGCCTGAGCTTGAACTTGCATAAAAGCTCGTTTAATAAAAAGGCCTCAGATTCTAATTCCAAAGTTTGGCCTTAGAGCCTCTCAGGCTGGCCTAGTATATATATTTTTTTATATATTTTTTTATGCTACTTGTAATAACCCTCTTTTCCTCCTCCATCTATTTCACCACATTTTATTGGTTAAACAGATTTTTTGAATGTTCTATATTATGCTGTTTGGATATACATTAAATTTATGAATATTTACGGAATTACTAGTGTTGTTGATTGTATAATTTATTTGGATAAATTTTTGTTGTCTTATTTCTTTTAAACATGCAAAACTAGATTTTTTTTTTTGTAAATAAGTTAGGTCACATGCCGATGATTATATTTATAACAGATAACATGCTTGATCAGATTGACACAATTAAACATATATTTAATTTTTTAAGACTAAAACTCGACTTAGCTCAGCTCCGTTAACATCCTTAGAGCTAACCCGTTAATTTAACTTGTTTTTAGGTACATTAACAAATTTAAAGGGTTGGTGCAGCGCAAAAAGCAAATGTCATTTTGCTGTTTTGGGCCAAAGGAACATTCGAGATTGTTTCCGTCTGGGTCGGGTCGGCCCGTTAACGGATTCGGATCTGTTTCAAAAGGGCCATTGCCAATTGCCATTTTTGTGTATGGTTGCTTTGTCAAAGAAGAGAGAGAAAGAGATTGTTGGATTTTGGAGGAGAGAGAGAGAGAACAGCGATGGCGAGGCGAGTCGAGACTCGGAACGAGTCGGGATTGACTCGGGCGGTCGGGGCGGTCTTTACGTTTGTGAGATACGCTGAGTTTGAGATCTTCTTCTTTCTTTTCTTCTTGATCGCTTATCTTCTCTTCAAAGACATCGTGAGTTCTGATTATAAAACTTCTTCTCTTCGTTTTAATGGCTACCCATTCGTGAATTTTGTTCAAATTTTCATTCTTTTCTATATGGGTCTCGTTGTATCTGTCTTTTCATGTTTCTTGTCTTGTAAGAAAAATTAAGCTTAACTTTTGACATCATGCGTGGGGATCTTAATTCTCAATCAGTATATTGGGAACTGAATTCCCTGGTCTGATTATTGATGTTGTTATTTTATGAAAAACATGGATCCTGTTATTTTGTTCTTGGAAGTACAGTATATTTTTTTTGTGAATTAATTAACTTAAAATTTTATTGATCCTGTAACCAATGTTATATATAGATATAGATATATAATATTCGTTATAGAATAGGGTTGGCATGAAATTTCAATAAGTATGATGTTATATCAGGTTTTCGGTGTCCGATGTTTCAATTCATAGTTGGTTGGTCTTAATATGTTGAAATGATTTATCAACATGGTACATGTTCTCCCCCGTTTGTCTTGTAATTGTGCTTTTGGCAGTGAGCTCTAAACTTATAATAACTGTTTGCTTCAACTGCAGACATCAAGGCCTGAATACAATCAAATCTTTGTAAAGAAGCCTGGTGGACCAGAATTTTGGCCATTTAAGGAGTATTGAAGATTGGTCAGGTTGGATGTGTTCATCCATAGAGGTCTCCTTAGCACACCTTGTGATGATTTTGCAGATTTTTTTTTTTTCATGTTTGTATCTTTATGTAACTTTGTAGGGAAAACAGGTGAAACTACCACATAATTTGTATAATTTTCAATTCCAGTTTGTTATACAGCAAATTCAAGTAAAAAGGTTTGCAACATTTTTTTTGTAGCTGTCTCTCTATTTTCTTTATTGTATATTTTGTATAATTTTCTTAATGTGGAGTTGCTGTCTCTCTTAGTTGTCAGCAGGACTCAGGTGTAGAGTCTAGAGGGGCTAGGGAGGCGACTGCCCCCTCAATCTTATACAAAGTTTTATATTAGGCTTCCTGGGTTTTATAAGAGTTATGTTGTAGGAAAAGTGATTGTGTAATGTTATAGAGATTCGTTTTGCGTGCTTTAATTTTTTATTTATTTTTTTGTTTTAAAAAGTGTGGGCCCCACAAAATGTTGTGAGTGTAGGAAAGTTTGTTGTGTTATGTTAAAGGATAAAATGAAAACCCATAAACAAAACTTGGAGGGTTATTTGAATCTGATAATGTATTGATCCTCCACCTCCTCTCCGGAAAAGTTTTCTAGCTCCGTTAGGGTTGCCATTAGCAGAACTAACACTTCGATCTGTTTCTGAGATGGAAGATTATTGTTTTCCTTAATGACATATTAAAATGCAAACAAGTCAATATTTTTCACAGATAAACTCTGATTTTGGCAAGAGTACATAAGTTAACTCCAGCTCAACAAGCACATACAAATGTCTAGATTGTTTGTGAACAACATCATAAATATGTTTAAACTTCACAAATGAAAACTGCAGATATTACAGGGAACTTTATCTGTAAATATTTTACAAAGGCATTTTTAGAACACTAATCAAACTTGACATTCTACACGACAGAGTATTGTGCAACCCTGTTAGTCTTCCTTGGCAATCTCAGCTATCTTCTCAACTGGAACTTTAGTAACATCACTGCGTACTCCAACATCAGAAACCAATCTGCTAACACAGTACATGCCACAACCAACCAATGAGAGACCACTAAAACTAGTGGTCATAAATCGAAGTGGTGAAGAAACTATAGCACTAGCAGCAGCAAGGCAAGATGCCGCTTGGCCACTCCGGCCTACATTGATGCTTGTGAGTAAAAGCAGACCTGTTTTGCAGTAAATTGCAAAGTCTTCACAGTTATTCTTGAAGACATTGTAGCTACCAAATCCATTCTCAAGAAGAAACAAAGCACGGTGAAGGACATGTTCAGTTGGGTCAGAAGAGGCAAGAGTGCATGTACCTCCTCGAGCTTTGGCTAGAAAAAATGCAGGTGAGACACCATACTCAAAGAGATATAAATCACCCCCAGAAAGAAAACAATCCAAGCAGGAAGAGATTACACCATCATTCCTTGTTTGGTCACCACATCTTGGGCAAGGAGTGTCAATAGCATGAGAGGGAGGTGAACTTATAAGGAGATGGTCCAAGACAGTTCCTGTTCCAATTTCTTGGCCTGCTCTCCTGGTGAAATGAATCACCATTCCCTCACCAACATATATTCCTGGTATCTTACACCAAAGCAGTTGGCAGAACAAAGATGACAATTTCAGTATCATTCATATATAAACTGAAAACACAGGTTCTCATTCCAGACTTCAAAATTGATGTCTGGAAAACGTATAGGTTATGGACAAAATGCTTATTGATTCTAGAATTGTTCTGAATGATATCTTTCTTGTTCTGAAGTTCTCTTAATACACAAAGACAATGTGTATTTGAGATTTACTAATACAAATATACAATACACCTATAAGCCACCAAGAAAATTGCAAAATTGAACAATGATGCAAAAATCCTATAATTTACCTCCACTGATTGTATTAAAAAATTTTATTGGGTATCAAATATGAAACATAAAAATATGTTACATAACTGGATATGAATGCTTTTTTTTTCTGATAAAAACAGAAAGGAAAAGAAAATCCCAGAAATGTGTGATGTTAGAGCAAATACTAGAGCAATAGAAGAGATTAAGAAATGACCGTGATGTGCATAGATGTAAACATGTCTCCAAGAGTAAATGTGATCGCCAGGATTCAGTTGTTCCCTCTCAATCTTATTGGAAAGCAATCCCATTTCCCTTCTATTACTGATTACCAATTATGCCAACAATAACCACATTATTGTAGGAAAATTTGAAGAAAAATTTGTATGTTGACTAATAATCACCGTCTTATAATCACAAAGAGCGTACCTTTTCTGTGTGTGACTCCTTTAGTGGGTAATTGAGTCTCCCTGGTGAAACTATTCTCAAGAAAATGGAAGAGTATGTGGGTACTAGAATTTCTTAATGTGTGTTTATTATATCTAAATGCAACAATTATCAAATTCACATATCAAAATGTGCATTTGCTTTCTAGAGGTGCAGAATGGAAAAATGGATTGAAGAAGAAAGGAACAAAAAATGAATATGAATGAGAACCAAGTTCTTGGATTCCAACCCAAGGAAACACAATCCCTTCCTTCACTTCTACGCCTTCCAGTTTATTGAATTCTTCATGGAAACAATATGACATTTACTGAACTCTATATGATGCATTCATTCTAGTTTAGTATCTGATGGGACACATGCTTTTATTGATGAAAATCATTAATAGCCCTGATTAAATAAATGTATCATAATTATTCATTAGCCATTACAGGTGCATCAAATAGCAAGATTGAAGGCTAAGTAGTCAAGCATGTTCAAGAAGGCTCTGTACTGCCACCTAGTGTTGTGCTATTGTTTTATCATATATTTTCTTCAATAAATGCTACTCCTACTTTGTTTAAAATATATTCATTCTTGCTCATATGTTTCCTTGCTGGCACTTATCTTATCCTCTCTCTCCATTGACTTGTACATAAAAATAGGTGTAGGCTTAATGGTCCTGGAATTGTGGTAAAAGAATGGTGTGGCGTGTGAATTACGAAATCAATAACCATGTTGAGAAGATTTCTTAGCTTCTGTCATGGGGATCTACTTGGATATTTAAGTTGAAGAAAATGCAAGGTATTGTCTTGATTTTCTTTTTACATTAAATTTATAAGAATAAAAGAAGACACTTTACATAAAATTAGAGTAGGCAAAACGGGCTCGGCTCGGCGGGCTAACCCTCCCAACCCGTCAAACGAGGCGAGACGGGCTGAATTTTTCAACCCATCTCAAAAGCGGGGCGGGCTCAATTTTTGGCGGGTTGATGGCGGGCATAGGCGGGTCGAAGCTGGTCAGTGTAAAATAGGTTCGGGCTGGAGGACCAACCCGTCCAACCCGCCAAACGGGGCGGGACGGGCTGAGTTTTTCAACCCACTTTCAAAAGCGGGGCGGGACGGGCTGACTCATTTTTTGGCAGGTTGATGGCGGGGCGGGCCGCCCACTTTGCCACCTCTACATAAAACTTCCTTTACATAAAAGTCATCTAAAATTTAGATAATCTTTAAATTTATAAGAATCAAAGAAGGTAACTCAGGAGTGGCATACTTGGTATTGAAGTGTGTCTCAAAGATAGGATCTCGATTTTGCCAATACACTTTGGGGTTAGAGACTGTTTGATCAAAATCGTAAATTTATATCGTATGATATGCATTTAGAGATATCTTACATATAGATGTCCTGATTAACTTATAGTCAATACTTCAATCTACTTCAATCACTGTGCATAAGCAATATGTTTATAGAAATATCCAATGCAATCTCTATTCTACATTCTTTTATGTAATGCATAATATGATCATATCTTAGTATTTGCATTTGAATCAATGATGAACATTTCCTAAAGAAAGTTCGGTAAAGATTAATTCCTTCATTTTATCTTCAAATTGGATCTCCAATTCTAACCTAATCTAAAACTTAATGCCACCTCCGTTTCAAATTTAATTTCTACAAGAACAGTTCTAGAAACACTTTTAGACTAAAAGAAAATTTAAAAAAAATTAAGGTATTATAACCTATTTTTATTTATAATTTCTTACAATTATATCTTAACCGTTAATTTTCGTCAATCAACGGTTATTATTTTCGCAAATTAAATTAATTAATTAATTATTAATTCACAATAAATAATAACTATTGACTGACAAAAATCAACAATTAAGATATAATTATAAAAAATTATAAATAAAAATAAATTATAAATATAACTTTCATCGATAAATATTTTCACAAATGAATTATAAAAGTTGGCTAATTTTGACTTCTCCTTTTGACCTAATCATTTGGGAATATACAAATATATTTTTTTAATTATTAATTTCTAATCTTTTTCCTTTTCCTTTTCCTTTCCCTTCTTATTCTCTCTCTTTCTCTTCTTTTTGACATTAATATCTCACATTCAATTTCAATTTCAATTTCTCGTTCTCTCTCCGCCATGGCACCTCTCCTCCTCCGTTTTCCGATCGCCGCCGTGATGGTCCTCGTGGTCCTCTCCGCCACTGCCACCGCGCGTCCCTGCAGAACCTTCATCATCTCCTCCTACTCCATCCGCAACCCTTCCTCCAACACCTTCGCCACCATCACCGAGATCCGATCCCTCACCCCTCTCTACATCGACCGAAATCCCCAAGAGATCTTCTTCGATAGCGACATCGGCCCGTTCCACCAACCAAAACTCGCAGAAATCGAGCAACGCGGCGCGTCGCACCCACGCGACCCCTTAGGGTTCTCCACCGCTTACGATTTCTCCTCCCTCCGCGACCGCACCAAGGACATCCTCAGCGTCGCCCTCGCCTTGCTCTTCGGCGTCGGATGCGGTGCCCTCACCGCTGCCACCATGTACTTGGTCTGGTCCGTCTTCTCCGCCCGCCACGGTTACCGCTCCGCCGCTTACGATGATTTTTCCGACGAGGAGATCGAGAGCCCCAAGAAGATGGGGTACGTGAAGATTCCGGCAGCGGAGGCAGCGCCACCAGCGGCAAAGGATTCTGTATGAGAAATTGAGAATAGCTTTTCATAGTATAACCGTGTGGTTCATGTGGATTGTTAATAATATTAGTGGAATTGAACAGAAAAATGGCCAAAAGGTGCTATCTTTTGCCCTGTATCAGTGCTTGTATTTTCCATTACATGTTTACTTTTGAATTTGATGTATTTGCACTATTTTTAGTTTCAAGTGGAAAACCCTAGTGTTGATGATGTTGGTTTCCTGCGTTGATCGTTTCAATGCTGAAGCCTTGGACTAGTGATATGTGGAAACTTGATGGAACTAATCGTATTATATGTTATATTTGTACTCATAATCTTTTTGAGCTAAATTGTCAAACTAGTTCATGAAAGATATAACTTCGTTTATGTTTGTCATTGAATGATTGAAATTTGGCCTGAATGTATATTCCGTTAGTTAATTTAATCGTTGAAGTTCTTGATGCGGGGTTTAATTTGACCTACAAGATACACATTCGGGGATAATATGACTTGAGTCTATATCTTTCAGGAACTAATTTGACTATTTACTCATTTTTGTGTCATGTTCCTTTATTTGGAAGTTTTTCTTTTCCATCATAATATTATATGCAGATTCTTGTGATATGTGATTAATTTACCTCTTATGAATGCTAATAATGGTGGACCTAAAGCAAAATTCTACCGAGCCTAGTTTCATTTGCTTTGAGAGTTAATGTTACTTATCAGGGGGGAAATGGTTTAGTTCTGTTACTCGTTTCTAGTTCTCTGTTATAGTATAAAGGAAAAAGGTGGATAAACTGGTTGGTTTTCTTTTCTACAATGAGTTTCTTCCGCGTAACTACATCCTATGTACTGTCAGTGGTTGTGTATTTTTATATTAACATTGTCAAAATCTGGTAACTTTTAACATTATAAGTTGTTATTGAGGCTTGCCAGTTGAAGTTTTAAACTGATTGAACTTTCTAAATCAATTCACTCTGAATTTGAATATTGGATTTGGGGATTAAGTTAACCCGTTGGGTGGTTTTACTCTTGTAGTCATTTTGCGCCGTTCAACGTTGTGAAAGTATTGGCAACCAGTCAGGTTACAATATGATAACGTTTGGTATGATGCTTTGGTAGAAGGAAACAGGGTTTGTGGTCTTAATTTTTCCTTGCATGTATCTATTTTCCATGAGTAGTTTCTTTGTCAACAATCAGCATATAGGAAACAATGCAAGCTATTTGCATTTCCGTTCAGGTGATAGGATACAATTTACTCTAGTTATGAGGAAAATTGCAGCCTTAGAGTACACTGTTATTCTTCTTATATTGCCCTCTTCAGTGCTGTTGGAAATAATTGAAGCCTTAGACTCGAGACGCATTTGTACTTGCTGTCTGTGTTTCTGCCAGATTTTGAATTAATAGCTGGAATTATAAAATTTTATTAGAGAAGTGTTGAGAAACTGTTAGTTATTATGAAAACAATTGTGTTGTGAATTCTAATTGAAGCGTGTATAATAGGTCATTGGCTTCTAAAACAACTCAGTACGTGAGGTAATTTTTGGATTTAAATGGTGTATTCGGGTTAATATGGGGTTGATATTGAAGAATCTGAAACCTCCCCTTCTCGGTTAGTGTGGTAAACACGCAATTGAATTGCATGTATAGAGTCCTGCTTTTTGCACACTACTGTTGTGCAGCCTTCGTAGTCATTTAACAAGATATAAGGAAGAAATAGGAGCTATAAATTAATATATGGATTTGCTAGAACATCTTTATGGTTAGTAATAGCAGGAATGGATCATAAAGTAGTATTTTAGGAGTGTGATTCTTAGTAAATTTCTTTTCTGAAAAATGGGAAATCTTCCCCTATGCTGTTTTTATGCGTCCTGCTGTGATATGGACAGTGGAACTCAGATCACATCGACCTCTTGAAATTTCACTTATATTGTGATTAAAAGATATAAATTCAAAGGATATTCATGGGGTAAAATCTGAAGCGGATGAAAATTGATGTTCATTGAGTTTATCAAGCCTTATGAAAGGTGCTTAACTTACCCTTCCGTCTGTGATTATTTTCAATGTGAAAATAACATTTTCTGGGGGGTGTTGTGTTATAAATAAATTGGATGACAAATTCATAGTCGATATTTATTTAACAAAAAATGAATGACAAGTATCTGCATTTTTTTAATACAACGATGGAACTAATTTTTCAAATTATGAGATGAGCTTGACTCGACCAACGTTCGCAAGACAAATGCGCTTTCCGGCACTTTCGACTTGAGCAAGGTACATAAAATTCATGTCACTTGCATTTCATAAACATCATTTGCATTAATAATACAAGTGTTTTAAAACCCCATTCAGACCGGTCGGTCGACCTGAGCCTTGATAACTTGGTGGGTTCTCCGAACGGCCATTTAAATTGGTCATGTAATCAATCATGTTTAAATTAGTTGATTCGGTCGGGCTTCGGTGATTCGGTGAGTTATACGAAACCCGGTTTGGACCAGTCACAATTAACCTGTTTATTTTTATTTTATTTTTTGTGTTATATTTTTAGTTCACAGGTTATAAGTCTTGGCGCCACTCTCTTTTAGTTTGTGTGAAATTATTGCTTGTCTTTTCTTTGATGTTGATGATAAGGAGTTTGACATTTGTTTTGTTGGTTGAAAACGAGTATTTGTCGTCTTTGGTGGCTATAAGAGTGTTATGAGATCTTTTCCTTTTATTAATACGGTGCATCTCATCATTTATTTGAAAGCCTATAACATGTAATAGTGATTAGATAAATGATAAATCCTTACATAAACTTTGGCCTTCAGCAATGAAAACTAGAATTCTTTTTGGCTTTTTGCAGTGTAGCAGTATAACCTAATAAGTTTGAAAATTTATTTGTTGTGATACGAGTACCCTTTGCTTGCTGCATAATGGATTGCCACTTATTTCTTGTGATATGGGTACCCTTTGCTTGCTGCATAATAGATTGCCACTTTATTCATCATTGTAATATGGAATAGTTTCTATTATTGATAGTTTTCTTCTATGAATTTTTAATATAAGTAATATATTTATATTTTTTAATATGTGAATAATATATCTATTTGAACTCAGTTGAACCAATGATCCAGTATCTGGACCGACTCATGTCATAAAATAATACTATAGTAACCTCACTAACCTAGAGCTTATTATACACTTTACCCTTACAGAAAATATTTACTAAGGGGAATGAAGTTCACATAAAACAATAATAAAGGAAAACGCTGTAAAATTGTATAAAATAAGTATAGTTTTTCAAATAAAAAGTGCCACATACAATAATAATACATAAATTAAGCACTGTAATCTATGTTGCAATCGATACTTCAAAACATTTGAAGTGTCGTGTTCGACACTCTCTAACACTCTGACACGCTCTGACATCTATAATATTTGAAATTTTATTACTTATCATGAAAAAATTGATTGATGTTTTACTAAACTGATATAATAAAAATTAAAAATGGATACCGAATAAATCTCACTAGAATGTATAAGAGATTTTCAATTTGAAAATAGAATAGTAAATATTTTTTTTAATAAAATGTAAATAATAAATATTTATATCTTATGTTTCTTTACAAACTTGATTGGTATTATAAGTTTAGTTTTATTTTTTTGTTAAATTATTGAATAGTAAATATAATATACACTACATAAATTAAAAATATTATTTGATATCATATCATGTTCTTTTTTGAAAAGCAAACAGGAAACAGAAAAACAAAAAAAAGAAACTAGGAACACCTCCTAGACCAAACTACTCCTACATAGTCCCTTTCAAGTTTGTCACGACAACCAGAAGGATGCGAGTCAAACTCTTGTAAAGACCAATCAAAGGAGTAGGCAAAAGAGGCCATCCAATCGGCAACCCCATTCCCTTCCCTATGAATATGGGAAATTCTAACCCTCCAATTCCAATCCAGCATATTCCTTATGCGCAAGAGCAAGTTAGAGGCTGGATGATGAGAGCTGCACCCTTCTCTTATGAAAAACTAGGCTACTAAGGAATCACCTTCAAGCCAGACAAAACAGAAACCTTTCCTCCATGCAATCTCAAGCCCAAGGAGACAACCCCAAAGTTCTGCTAACAAAACATTACCACAGCCAAGATTTTTACAAAAGCCAACAAGCCACCTTCCACTAGCATTCCTAAATACACCCCCACAAGCAGAAGCTTCTCCATTATTCATACTTGACCCATCCACATTGAGCTTAACCCAAGGGTCCGAAGGAAAAACCCAAGAAACTAATTTCTCTTTATTCGAGTTAGTCTCAAGACCAGCAACCCGAAGCGTGTTTTCTGACCAAGAAAAATCTTCACCATAGACCATAGCAGCTCTAAAAGTGCCATAAGCAGGAACAGAAGATCCCTGAAAAATTTTCTTATTCCTAGCTTGCCAAATGAAACAGGAAATGATACCAAACAGAAGAGGCCATGATGGCAAATTGGACCAATTACGATCCTCAGAGATATTGGACAACACCCATTGCTGAAGATTAAGAGAGAAAAAATCCTCCCAAGCCTCTCGCTTAACTGCAATCTCCCACACTTTTTTTGCTGCAATACAATCTCTAACTGCATGTAAGGAAGTTTCCGTAAAACAATTGCACAGATGACATATATCTGAACCCGCCATGTGCCGTCTGCAACGCCTTTCATTTGTCAAAATTTTATCTCCTAACAATAGCCAAAGGAACGTACGAATCCGTTCAGGTCCATGCCACTGCCAAACGCGATTCCAAGGTAAATTGGTAGATTCCTCGTTACCCCTGGATATGGCCATATAAGCGGACTTCAGCGAAAAACTCCCATTAGATGTCCTTGTCCACAAAATTCGGTCATGACCATTAACATCCGAAGGAGGAAGGATGTTATTAATCATATCATGTTCTAATTTGTCAAAATCTAACATTTTTTAAAACTAACATGTCGAAGTATCGTATCGTGTCCCATGTTTAGTGTGATCAAAACCATGTAAATATGATTTTTCAAACAAACAACTATAATAAACTCTTACTAATAAAAAGTTTTATATATAAATGCTAAATGATATAAATATATTTTTATAAAATGACTTAAAAAAAAAAAATTGCATTAAATTATTTACCAATTTACTTTTTAACACTTTTTTCTCTCTATAACCATGATTTATTATTATGCACTAATTAAAAAGTCAGTAAAAAATCTTCTTTTTGTGATATCCCAATCAACTCATCGCTTCGTGACTAGTCCAATTCGAAGAAGCAAATCTCATGATTAGAGAGCTTTAAACCCAAATTCCGTACAAAACTTTTGGTACCAAATCATATTGCTATATCCCATAATATTAACATGGGAAAAAGAATTCTTATGTTGTAAGAGAGCTCTCTTCTCATGTTAGTGAGAGTTCGTTTTGCGTGCAATAATTTATTTTGTTTTCTTTATTTTTTATGTGTGGGCTCCATCATGAATTTGAGTATGTAGAAGATTTCCTCCTCTTCAATAGCATGAGAAAAACATTGCCCTATTAACATATACACTAATAGAATGTTACTAGTTATATAACTATTTAGTAACCAGGGTAGAGACAGCTGCAACAATAAAAGGAAACCAAAATGTTTTCAATTGTTAATAAATGTTTTTTAAAAATAAATATTTGTAAAATGTTAAAATAGGCAGCTAGCAACAACATAATATTTGATATAAAGCTATAATTATTACTCAAACAGTGCAGTAGCATATTAAGAGATCTCTCAGTATGAATACATAGTTGTGGTTTCAATGACAAGAGAGTAAAATACTATTCGACCACTCAACAGGAAATTAATTAGTTCATGCAAGAGGTTAATCAAATGCTAAAACAGCAATAACACTAATTCTAGTTGGTGGTTCGCTAAGTTCATATTGGCACAAAAGCTTGTCCTATGTTTCGTATCATAATGTATATTTTCTTCAAATCATACAAAAAAACGGAAGTAATAAACAAGTAGAAACTGTCTTGAACGTGGGAACTGAAGGAATACATTCTTAAACTATCTCAGTATTCAAATGAGCCAATTGATGTTGGTACAGAAACAATGTCGTGAGATTCCGCACCACTGCCATTTAGCCTTTGTCCTGAACTGAGAGCAAGGGCTTCTTGCTCTCCCATCTTCTGAATATCTTCAAGTGAAAGTATTTTGATATACCATACATTATTGACAAATGATCTGCAAGAGGTTATGCAGAAAATGCACATCAATATAGAAAATGTCAACAGGCATTAACCAAGTGAGATAAATAATTATAGATTTATAGCATGTATTTTTAGTTAAAAATCAAGGAAAGAGTACTTAGAAATGAAATCTCATATGTCAAAATTTCACATGATTTTGTTGTGTGAAAATCATGTCTATTTCTCTCATTAGAGGCAATAAATAGGTTGAGCTGTATCAAGATTTGTGAGTATTTATGAAGGGAGAGAAATAGACACAATTTTCACATGATCTGGTCATTTGAAATTTTAACTGAATGGATCCATTCCCCAATGTTTTGGATCACAAACTAGTGTAATTGAAACTTGTACTTACTCCCACGGATCATCTCCAAGGAGAAGAATGTCATTCTCCCTGTCGACAAATACAAGCTGCCAGCCTGATCTAGGGTCTTCTAACTTCCCCTCGATTCCAAACATCTGAGCCAACTCCTCTCGCAGTTCATGATAGCTGCTGAACCGTGAGATGTCAAGTGAGCGCCCAACTGACCCTGGTTTGTAAACCTGCGGAATGACAAAATGAAACTACTAAATTAAATAAAAGAAGGGTCCCAAGGATGCAGAATACTTCAGAATTATACCTTGACAAATGTTCGGGTCTGGTTTTGTGGGTCAACTTGCCCTACACTTTGCAAAAACTCTGATGAATCTTGCATGCATGCATAGAGAGAACCCTGGAATCCAGACTCTCCTATTGCCATTGTTGATGCATCAGTATCAGCAGATGAAGTGGTATAACCAGGGACAGTGGTGGGGAGTAGAAGGCCTGATGAATCAATATTGACACCAAAGAGAGTAGGATTTTGGGCATCTGAATTACAATGTGGTGGCACCATTGCAGAATCTTTTCCAGAATATTGTGCATGTGACATTGTGCTGCCAAAGGCATTGACCTGCATAGGTGCATACTTTGGTGTCCATGGTGATTGGGATAACTGTTCAGTCAGTAAGGACTGACCATTTCTCGATAAATTCAAGAGACTGCCTCTTCCTTCGGGACAAAGTGAACTAAGCATGTTTTGTCCAGGGGAAACCGAAGCAGGGAACTTTATGCTTGAATCCAAGAAATCTGGTTTTGAATATGATGGTGAAGGCACACTGGATTGTTGTCTCTGATGGAGCTGATCACTTTGAATTAAAAGCGTATCTTGATAATTATGTTGCTGCTGTTGTGCTTGGACATCTTGATTGTTATGTGGTTTCTGAAGGAGGTGCTGAGACAGGTTCTCTGTGAGTGCTTGGGCTTGTGGCTGCAGCATATTAGAAGACACTGATTGTTGAATTGCTTGCTGCTGCTGAAGTTGCAAAGGAGAATTATTGTTTCCGGATTGTTGAAGATATTGGAAAGGCTGTTGAAAATTCATCATTTGTTGCCTCATGAGATATCCACTACCTAGGTTCTGCAAACCAGCTGCTAACATGGCTTGGTACTGTTGATTCTGATCATTTCCTAGTAAAGTTGGATCCAGTTTTTGCTGCATCCAGGGCAACATACCAGTGCCTTGAAAATTTAGGGAATTGAGACCTTGGTCTACAGGTCCACCTCTCAGCCACATTAACCCATTAGTTGCTTCATCGCTGCCATCTGTAACAAGATCCTTGGTAAAGAAAGGAGACAAAAGAAGACCCTCAAAATAACCATGGCCATTTGTTTGAAAAGAGGGGATTAGAGACACTACGATACCTAAATGTGGATTAACAAAAAAGAAAGAAAAAGAAATCTAATCCCTTTGTTTCAGACATGAAGAATGAAAGAAATATGAAAGTTAGAAAACCAATTTGGATAACTTGAAAGTTAGAAAAGCAATTTGGATAACTTGGAAGTTAGAAAAAATTTAGACTTCTAGTTACATAATTAAAAATACCATCTCATGGCCGTATCCAAATCCAAAAACGAAAACATCCCATGGTTGTCTTGGGAGGATATCTTATCCTTGCACCTTGTAATCCTTCTAATTTAGATAAAATATCCTTTTATTAAAAAAAAATTAAAAAGCATGAAGTATCTTACTAATTTCAACTATCAAATGCTTTCAATTACATGAAATGCCATAGCTAAAAAACACAAGCATCAGAAAAACAAATAGTTAACAGGTGGACATTTGTGAACCCAGTTTCACAATTAGAATGCCAAGGTTTGAACTTTGGTCCTCCCAATGAGAGAGTGTGGCTTGCTTACCACCACACCCAACCCTTGTTGGTAATTAGAATGAAATCTATATAAATAAAAAGGTCGGCATTGAGAAAAAATGTACCATGCAAAGATGAGGTGCCAGGATGCCATGGGCGTTTCAACCTAAGCGGAAATAGTGATGGATACATTGGGAATGTTGTTAAAGGCTCGATTTCCCATAATGATACTCGTGGCTGTCTCTCTCCTGCTGTTGATTCATCCCAACCAACCTATCCACAATGGATAAAAGGACCAAGTAAAAGCAATTTTTTAAAACATCTAATGAAATTAAACCCTGAAACTATAAACATGCTGTAGCTGTCCGGGACAATCACAAAGGACCATTGTGTGTTATACCTATCATTCTTTATTTATGTTATGTAAATATAATGACAATAATAATCATAATAACAACAATAACAAGTGAAACCAGAATCAAAAAGCTGTAGAGCAAGGGTATATGCAAGTATTATTATTACAAAAATATATAGAAATATAGTACTGTTCATCAATTGCCCTAGGTTGGCTTACATTTACAAATAATATAGAAAAGACAATATGTGCTTTAAATAACACAGTTAATAAATATCAGATTGATCCTTACAGCTATCCTTTCCTGAATATTTTGTTGACAGCAATCAAGGATTCTAAAATTTGGAAAACTAAATAAGGACTTGCGGAAGGTAAAAATGCTGAAATCCTGAAAATTAGATTGATTGATGGCATGTATAGGATATATCATAATGGGATAGGTTTACGGTTTAGGTTAGTCGAATGATCTCCAGGACAATAAGCAGCACCCATAAAGGGTACATCCACTTAATGAAGGATTTAACGCAACTGGTTGGGTATTAAAACGAAGAAATGTTGAAGACCTCTGATATGTAACCATGCAAACAATTCTTGTAACAATTGTAAATTATAATAGATTCACAAAAGCATAATAGAAATTACGTATGATAAGAGGAAATGAGAAAAAACCTATATTTGCACTATGGTTCCCGATGCATCAGACAACCAATGAACCAATAATAAACTAAAATTGTATTTCAAAAATACATAAATAAAGTTGTTAACAGCCTTAAAAGTGTTTTTTTCTTAATTGAACCCTTTTATTAGGTCAAGGCCTTGATTTATAGCTTAAAAGTGTTTTTCTCATCGTTTGATGAGGAATGATGAGGGAAAAGAAGTACCAAATAAATTATAAGAAACAGGATTAGATTAGTATTGAAAAGTGCATTCATAAAGTATGGTTAGATATCTAAGAAGACAACCTTCATCATTGGTATACAATTGCAAAGTGGGATTAATTTTTATAAATAACAAAAGGAACCGTTTATACTGCTATCTGACTCACCTTGACAGAGCGCCAATGAGAATTTGGCCACCGAACAGGATCCAGATCACTTATGCCAGTTATGGTACCCATGTACCTGCAAAACAAAGGGGAGACATGGATAAGTAAAGGCAAAATAGCATGGTGCAGCACTACCAGAGGATGATTTTTTTCCACTAGGCTCCGGGCTTCCACTGCCTTCAGATTGCAACCCCTATGCATTTTGTCTCACGACCCAAAATCAAAAAATTCAAAACCATAGGTAGAAGTAGAACAGTACACTTACAGGCTTACAGCCTCCCAAAGCATTTAGTAGTTGGTGTCCATGAAGCACCGATACTTCAAAAATCCTGACGTGTCGTGTCCGACACTTTTCGACACTCCCTGATACTCCGACACTATCCGACACTCCAACACGCATTCCAGAGACTCAAAAAAGAATTCAAATGTTGCGTTGCGTTTTTAGTACCAACTATTAAATTTGTTGGATTACGATTACCGTTTTATTGAGTTTAATATAAATATTTAGGATATCTTATGTTTTTATTGCAAAATTGATTGGTATTATAAGTCTAGCTTCACTTTTTTGTTAAATTATTGAATATTAAATACAATATACACTACATAGATTAAAAATATTACTTAATATCAAAACGTGTCTTAATGTGTCGAAATTTAACATTTTTTAGAATTAACGTGTCGGAGTGTCATATCGTGTCGTATTCTGTGTCCCGTATCAGTGTCAGTGCAACATAGGTTGGTGTCCACTTTCTTCAAATCGCATCTGCTTAACTTTTTCTCTCACATACCAAAATTTAGAGCTCATAACCAACTATTCAATTGACCTATTTCGTATTACTACGGTGTTTGCTACATGGCTTCTATAACTGTGCCGAGATATGCGTTACTCACTAGCTTATCCAGAAACTTGCATCCTTAGATAGTATACATGCAGATGAAATATCAACCTCATTTTAGGCAAAGGCAAGCTATTACTATCTTTACTTATTTAAAAGGTACAGCTTATGTATTATTCATATGTCTACCTCTTAAAAAATACAATTAACTGGAAGAGTTGTAGTATAATAGGAAATATATCTGAAGTTTCAAGAACCAGAAAAAAAAAATTAATTAACTATTCCTTAAGGAAAAATAATAACTGACATCTACAAGTACCTGCGCACACTTGACTCTTCAGTCTCAAAAAGCATCCTGAAACGCATACCAACAGAAATACGTGTATGGTACACAGCTTTGATATATTTTGAAAGTGGTATGACAAACTCAGATGGACTAGCCCTGCCCACGATGTAGCTGTCAAAAAAAGTATTATAATTTCTTATAAAGAAGTATCACAACTGGAAACTAAGACATTCACAACCTTGGATTATAGAAAACAGTAAAACAGCTATTAGTAGCTGCAGCATGGGCAGCCGCTGCAAGAAGTCCAATGTGCATACTATCACTGGATAATACTGATGATGGCATTACAGTTTGTGGTCGAATGGCACGACGTATTCCCAAAAGAAGCTGATTCTTCTCATTCCTGGAAGTGAAAATACATAGGAAAAACATAAAAGAATCAATTTTTAGCATTCAAGGGAAAGAAAAGGTTGCCAAAAGAGTTAAAGGAAACAAATACCATATGAAAAGCACAGAATCGCCAGCCACAAGTCTCTTGGCACTAACAAATATACTCCAGCCCGTTGTAAGAAGGTGTCGTTTTGGCTGTCCTGAAATGATATGCAAGCAAGAGGCACATAAGCAAGTGCAGGAAATACTATAGACCTAAAAGTTTATGATCATGTATACGTAGTATGAATAATAATGACTCTAGTACACATCTCTAATTTAACAATAGTGCACTAAAAGTTTGATACTTCTGTTGTAGTAGAATAATTGACTCTGAAGCCAAAAACTAAATAGACAAATTCAAGACATTCATTTAAAACAACAGGAAATGAAAAGAACCTATTGAAAATATGTAATTATTACATTTTTTGGTCCATTTTTCTCTTAAACATTACAACTACCAAATATTACAAGAGGATTGATAAAATATGTTTCCCTAACACAGGGTAGTAAAGAAAACCAGCAAAAGACTGAAGATCGAAATTTTTGGAACTTCCTTTTCAGAAGCTAATGCTCCTTGTAAAATTGTCTAGTTTAAAAGAGCTAAATATGTACATAATTGAACCAATCTACAGCTCCACCTTCAAACTGGCCGTATTTCCCATGGTAAACAGTTGTGCTTGCCAAATTAATCATTTTGTGTGGCTCAGTAGCTTGCAGGACATTTTGTAAGAGATAAGACAGCTTTCACAGTATAAAGTTTATTCTGTTGGAAACTGGTTGAGATACTGTTTGCAATGTAGTTTTAGGAGGGTTCCAAAAAGTAAAAAGCCAGAATCTCAATTACATATGGAAAATTTATTAGGAACAGATTTTCTGACTCCAGAACACACGAAGGATTAGAGCAATCCCCATATTTATAATGGAAGATAGAATTTCCTTACAATATCATTTCACTTACTGTTGGATAACTTTCAGATTCAAATGATTCCAAAGTTATTTAGATCTTCTTCAATAAAAAAGTGTAAAAGTATATATCCACAAAAAGACTGTAATTTCTAACATTGATTTGAAATTTTTTTACCACAACTGCAAAATCTCCTATTCAACCTACCATCATGGTCACAATCCACAGTCAGATCACTCAAGTTTGGGTATTATTCAAGTTCCTCATGCACAAGAATGGGCACTAATGAGATCTGATCACTTCATTGCATCATTTGCTCATAACAGTTGAAATGATATTTGTTACAAGTTACAACAGAGGATTTAGGATTTAATCTTGAAGATGATGGATTTTCCGTACAAGTTCATGAAACACATGAAAACTACAGAAGAAAAATGCCAGCAAATAGTATGCAATATATATCTGATTCATGTGCAAACAGGATGCTTCCTAGATCTTGGTCATTTAAGATAAGTTACATTAATGTGAACTTCCCTATACTTTTAAAATTTTAAATAATTCCCCGATAGTTTAAAAATTATAAATGAGTCCCTGTAGTTTCAAAAACATTTTTAATTGAGTCTCAGTAGGGACCTAACAATAATCTAGATTCAGGGACCCCATTGAAAAAGTTTTAAAAAGTATACGAATCTATTTATAGTTTTTAAACTATAACTTATTTAAAAATTTCCAAAAGGTACAGGACTTGCAGATTAATTTAATCTTTAAGATGTAGCAGATAGTGCAGACTGCTGAAGTGCCCAAGTTGCTTTGAGATCTTAGCAAAAGATCCCCTCTAAAATGGTGAATCTTAATGTTTATGATGTAAAAATGCAGAAACCAGTAATCCAAGAATTTCATTGGTGCCAAAGGCATATGTTTCTAATGAAAAATATGTCTTACCAAAATATTCTTCAATACAATTAAAACTTACACTATAAAATAACAAGATCATAAGACTGGATTCAATAAAGAACTAGAGTCCTACCCCGAAAAATATGTCGAAACTTCCATTCAACATCATGGAGATCCCTAGCAATTAGTTCTTGTGCTGGAGGTTGCAGTGAAAAATCCTGCATAGCCCAAATATAAGAGAAATAAACCCACGTCCAACCAGAGTCGAACACAAAGGCAAAATATATACACTACCAGTGGAGGGAAAACTTTCTCAGCAGCACGACGAGGAACAGAGAACCCTCCATGAGTGCTAGTGTCACTGGCCGTTAATGTCTTGCAAAAGTAATTTGAGGGCTGCTTACTTGGAATGCCCAATTCCATGGGAAGAAATGTATCCTTCTGCTCTTGCTACATCCACAATTAAAAATGCAAATTAAAATTCCAAAAACACAAAGAGAGGTTCATAACACACAAATCAAGTTGATCAAAGAACAACATTATACCGGAGTCAATGGCTGTAGGGTCATTTGAGCATATACTTCATCTGTTTCAACATCTGCCTGAAAATTAAAACGTGCTCGAGTACACTGAGTTTACTCTAAAGGTAAGAAACCATAACTCAACCATCATAACTAAACAAAAAAATAATAATAATATACCCACATGCATTGTTACATTGTGTAGTTGGCAAATCAACTGTGGTGGCAAGCTCGGGTAATTGGGTATGTGCCCATCAATTTCTCTGTTAGTTGTGGCAGCAACCTGGAATCAATATTCAATATCTTCAGCTCAAATTTCCATTTATAGAATCCATTGAATTGGCTACAAACCCAAGTTTTGTATCTTATGTATTATGCAAATTGAAACTATCTAGAGTGAAGTAGGGAATAAAAAATAAAAAAAACCTGCTCACTATGACCCTGAGGGAAGTAAACAACACGAGCCCCTGCAGTTGGTAGGGACACCAGGGGCCCTGCGCATGCATGCCATAGCTCAGAATTCAGACACTTCTTCTCCCCTCCTACCATCATTATTCACATCAAATTATCAAAAAAGAGAAAAACAAAAACTTACAAGGATGTTCTAGCAACAGAAAAGGGTATGAAAGAGAGACCTAATATTTATATACAAGTCCTGACAAGAAGCAAAACTAAGAGCTCTGAATGTTTGCTCAAATTATTAAAAAAAAAAAATAAAGACAAAAAGAGAGAATTAGAATGGATACCTTCATGTCCCTGCTGACCCAATCCTGCTGTTGAAAGCTTCATATCATCAAGCTCTATCTTCTTTTATTTTTTACTCTTTTATTTAAAGACACAATATAATTGACAATTACATAAATATATGAAACCCTAGCTCAAAGCCACACTATCTTCAATTTGCCTCAAGCCATTGCATTCCCCAGTATCTTCTCCTACACCTATCCAATGCACTCCATACCCAGAAACAACATCACCTTAAAAAATCAAACAAAACCCAAATCCACAACATCCTAACAAATTCAGAACAACCAACCACTATCACTTTAGTAAGAACCCCAGAACTAACTCTTCACACTAACAACAACAACAACAACAGCTAACACCCAAAAAAAAAAAAAGTTTTTTTTTCCTTTTCTTTGCAAATTTCAAGCAAAGCCATGACCCAGAAGCAAAACCCAATTGGAGTTAACCTGCAACGGTTGCACGTCCTTCGAGATCGCCATGAAAAGCTAAGAATGAAGTGTAGTGTTGAAAACCAAAGACCCTCTTTTGTGGCATATCACTATCGAATGACACCAAGTGAAGATTTTTGGCTTTGAACAAATGCACACAGTGATGAGAGAGGAGAGAGAATGATAGAGAGAGAAAAATTAAAAAAAGGGTCTTTGCCAAATATAAGGGGTCCCGACCAAGCTGGACATGGTGCAGTAGAGAGAGAAAGTGTAGGAGAGAGAAAGTTCGTGTTGAGAGTTATGGGGTGAAAAAATAATCTGAGCCGTTGGATCATCCGTACTTGATAATCAAGAGCGTTGATTTTGATTGATGTGACAGCAGGCATGTGCCACCATCCTTCACCGGTCACTGTCACAAGTACGGAGTATTGAGGTAAAAAATATTACCATAAAATAATATTATTATTAATAAATAGTTTTTTTTTTAATAAAATAAAATATCTGTATGAGAGAGAGAAAGTTAGAGAAAGAAAGAGGGGGAAGCGCGTGCTATGCAAATGGATGTGAAGTGTAATAAGTAGCAAGAAAAAGTTAAAAGCAAAGATATTATTGGAATAAAAATGTTGTTTTGCATTGAAAACTTTTCAAAGTTATTAAAATTGTATTACTGTTTATTTTAAAATACTCTAAATATTAAAAATTTATGTAATTCCATTAGTTAAATTTTTATTTGATGAAAAATAATAATTCATTAATCAATATCCAAATAAGCTAAGATTTAATTAATTCAAGCTAAAGAGAAATAATGTAATCATCCAACCCAACTTCAAATTTCACAAGTTAGTTTGGATCAAAGTTATCTGTGTTGATCAGGCATGCTCAACTCAATAAACAATCTAAATTAGAGGTTTAGTCCAACAACAAAAATTCGTTTGTTGTATTAACTCATTTTACACCTGAAATTCTAATGAAATAAAAGCAACAATCGTTTAACAGTTATTTTAATTGTGAGCAATTCTTTCAAAATGAAAGTGAATAAAAGTATCATTAATGCTTTCATTATAAAAGATAGAACTTCATTAATGAAAAGAATAAAGAGTTAAAAAAAATAAAGGGATTAATATTTCAGTTTTTATTCTGGAACAAATTTATCTGTCACATTCATTATGTTACACCGATATTGATACGAAATATAACACGACATGACACTTCGACACATTAATTATAAAAAATATTATTTGATTAGTTAGGAAACTTTTTGATATTAAATGATATTTTTAATATATATAATATAGTTTACATTTAATACATATAACAGTCTATAATAAGTCGTATAATCATTTAAATATTTAAATTTCATAACATAAATATAAAGTAAAAATAATTTTTATATCAAATTTCATAACCGAAAATATTGATTTATAAATTAATTTTTCATGTTTAGTTAAAAAGATAAAATAAAATAAAATTTGAATCTGCATAAACATTGACGGTGTATCAAAACATGTTAGAGTGTTTACCACATTTTGGTATCTGACACGCATTTTTCAGAAATAATGACGTGTCCGTGCATCATAGCACACTCATATAAAATTAAGGGATTTGAATACTCTCGTGTTTAAAAGTGATCATGTTGTTTGATAACAACCGCTTATTCAAAAATCATACTCTTTTTTCTTTCTTATCCCATTATCAATAAGAGATTGTGATCAAACACTATATCCATATGACTACTTTTAAACATAAAAGGATTCAAATCTAAAAATAAGCGAGTCTTATTAATATTTATCTCTTTTTTCTTTATAACGAGACTCATTTACTTTTACGCAAGTGTGATAAAAAAATCATTTTTATACTAAAAACAGAAATATTTTTCTCCAAAATAAAACTAAATAATCAATAGAATTATGAAGGAAAAGGGACAAAGCCCAATATTACAGCACAAAACTAGAAAGCAGAAGTAATTTAACATTTTTTGTTTGTGACTGGATTTTTTTTTCACATTCTTTTGGAAAAAAAATGAATAATATGTGCAAGCTGAGTCTATGAACTATATATTGAGGTCAAACTTATTTATTATTTGAATATTTATTGTAGGTCGGTTATTTAATGATACTTTAAATCTTAATTTATTCTTTCTAGTAATTAATTATTGTTTAAAAATCAATTATATCCACGATTCGAATAATAGAATCATTACTTTATAGAGATTTTATTTAATCACCATCCTGATCGGAATTGCCTAAATAATTATTTTACCTACAAAAAAATAATAAGTATTTTTTACTTAAAATAAATTATAACATTTTTAACAACATGATCTTAATAACATCATTTACACATTGCTATGATAATCTTTTTTTTTTTTTATAATAGTATCTTTTTATTTTAGGGCAAGATAAACTGAACGTGTCTCCCTTTTCCTTTTCACTTTTGGGTAAGCTCTTTGCAAATTGAGTTATGCCTTGAAAAATTGTGTATTGTTCTATTAATGGTTTTATATCATTGTGATACTAAGAGCTTCTGTAACAAATATTGTTTTATTTAACTCATAAAAACTCATATATAGCTAATATATCAATAATTTGCCTCTACGTGTGTACTTAACATGAATCAATCATATACTAGATAATACATTATTTTAATTTGACCAACTTTTGGGTGATATATGACCAATATATATTAAGTAACTACTTTTGTAACACCTCGTTCTAGAACTGATTTGTTAATATTACGTATAGCATTAAGCGCAGTTACAATCACATATATTGTATTATAAGGCGGATAAACTTTTCCTTTTCATTTATAAACGATTATGTTTAAAATCAATTCTGTAATTAAAACAATTTCAATAACTGTAATCATAACTTAAACTAGATGTGGAACACTTAATGTACTTCTATTTAGACTATACTTTGCTACCATAGTGTGCCAAGTAGTCCCCTTAGACCAACAAGGCTTAAAAACTCATTTTTATTGTTATTCAACACTAAACACTTCCACTTTTTAGTTACTTAAGAAATTTTATACTACTTATATGGTCCTCATCTTCCAATATATTATAGATCTCTTCGTTAGCTACGCGTGGGTTCAAACTGCGCTCAATTCAAAACACCGTAGCCCAAGTTATGAATTTTCTAAAAAATGGTACTAAACTCACTTGGCCCAGCACGAATAGAGCCACGAAACAGCGGATTTCCCAATTTCTGGCGCGAATAGTGCAGGAAATGCATTTTTCCACTGTATGTTGGCGCGGTTAGTGCCACCACAGCGCTAATAGCGCCACAATTCTGGAGATTGATCCCAAAATAGGATCATTCAATCTACTTTGGTCTTTTACTCATAACTTGAGTTATACTAATCCGATTGACGCAATCTTAGTCTCGTTGGAAAGATAAGAAAAAGATATATAACTTCCATTAAGACACAAGGGTCAAAATTTATCATATAGGATATGAAAAATGGATAAAAAAACCATAATATCCTTATATTTACATTAATTCTCAACCCTAAAAGTTTTCACATAACTTCATGAGGAAATTCCTCCCTCTTTCACCATCCTCTTAACACCTAATAGAGTAGGAATGACTAACAATATCCAACACATATTTTGGCTCTTACATCCCATCCTTTCTTCTTGAATCCCTTAAATACTCCTTGCACCAATTTAAATTACAACAACATAATATCATTTTACATCAATATTCTTCACAATAACATACATGCCAAAGAACTTAGTTGTCAAAGAGACATGATCAAAGCCATTGCTCACAAACAACATGTAGTTACCACTACTATGATCATGCACTAAGTCCTTCAAATATACATCATATGGTCTCAAAATACACAAACATACGATGATGTAAATGGCACATACATCTAACAATCCTACATGATATAGCATCCCAAAATGACAAGCTATCATGTGCCATCTACTCAGGCCTCTTGCCTCATCCCGCATCATCCATGCTAGTAGCTGAAATAGCATTCCCCAAACGGGGTGAGATAAAACTCAATAAACCCAGGGTTCTTGGAGAGCTCCTCTAACCCTAGAGTTCACTTCCTGCATGAAAGGTTAGTATCCACATGGCATGAACTACATCATATATACAGAGGCAACAACAGCAATGATTTAATTACAACATAGTCGTGCATTCAAATGGCCAAAGAATTAAACAATCAAATCATCACACACGCTTCAGTTGCATCTTAGTCCTTTCCACTAAGCTTACAACTTAGCCCCTAGTGCTTGTCCATTGGCCCTTTCTGCAATGACAAAACAATACTATATGAATGCAAACATACCATAATACTAACATTACCACTCAGTCATCCATTCATTAACCATTACTTCCATAAAAGCAATGGTGGAACAACAAGAGGGATTAACCTCCAAGATCCAAAGGTTTACCTCTTGATGTTTCCTCTCCTTTGCAAGATTTCTTTTAGCTCACTTATCCACACTAACCTTTCTTGGTATGTCACTTGATAATTCCTTCCAATCACCAATGTTACCTAAACAAAATCTAGAATTCAATCAACAAATAATTCATTTGGAATCGTTATTAAAAAAAGCTTTCCTACTCAACACCTCCATTAAGGTGCATATTCTATCAACTTCTCAATAGTCCCATGGTAACTAAATGAATCCTTCCATTCACATTAGTCACACAAGGCACCACAATGCTTGACCACAAGGTGAGGCTACTTGCCAATCCTTGAAATAATTCAAGTACACAAACCAAGCTCCATTGGTTCCCTCATGGCTTGATCACTAACAATTGGTCCACTTGCTTCAATCCTAACAATCATATGGACACAATCATTCAAGGCTCAACAATTCAAGAAATTCACACTTTCAAGAATAATTTTTCAAGATATTGAACAATAACCAAACGGCTATCTAAGTTCATTTCCATCGTTTAATTATCATTCATAACAAATTTTACAAAGGGATTTAGTCTCAATCTCTCTCTAACATACCCTACTATTCATGCATTTTCATAGACTAAAACCCTAAACATGCACCTCATTCAAATTAACCAAAATGGATAGAAAACTTACCACAATCCAACCACAATGATCCAAGGTGAGGGTTCTAAACCACAAGAATGGAAGACTCTACCTCAAGCTCCTCCAATGTCAAATTTTTGCCCC